AAAACGAGCTGATCACAGACGGGGATTACTGAGTGTATTCCAAGAAGAGTGGCTAGGACGCCGACAAGCCAATTTAGCTAAGATTGAGAAGCACTAGCACAAGACCAGGAGACCACGAATGCCCCTAAACCGAGGAGATAGAGTACTTTGGTTGATTGATCGAAAGAAAAAGCTAGGACCGAGTATGCCGGCGATGAGTGGAAGGAGGTGAGGGAGGTGATCACTGGAGGGTACAGCTATAGGACCTGGGGGATGCCGTGGCCGAGACACTTATGGGTGCCAGTGGATCAACAGTTCAGAGAGACTGCTCGTCTGGCTCGCGCTAGAGGCTCTAGCCTAGAGCAGACAACATGGCAGACAACACTGATCATGGGATTACTGAGTATATTCCAAGAAGATTATGTGGACTCAGTACCAGATGGTGCCAGATGAGTTCAACCCACCCGAATCAGGTGCCTTCCACCAAGCGAAACTTTGAAGGTTCAACTTCCTACTCAGAAGAGTCATTTTGAGTTCAGTTCAATAAGCCTACAGTTAAGCATTAAGGAGTTAACAGCGTAAACATTAATCACCGATTGATAATACTAGCTTCGTGTCTATCCTCAATGCCCTCAAAAGGAGACGCCCCGAACTTTCACACATTTCTCGTCAGACTTATTGCGTGCGGGGTGTACTACGGCTGGTCATCAAACTCACTTATCAGTTCGCAAATGAACCATGCATTGGCTGCAATGGGAGAGGATGTCCAGCTCACAAGACGGATGGTTGCTAAAGTTAAATCCGAATTGTTCGCAGCCGCGAACTCTAAAATGATAACGAGCGTTCTACACGGGTGTATTCTTTGTGGACGCGCTATCACCTTGTTGGTAGATGGGTGGACTCCATCCCCTTTCATTAAGGAGGGGTCGATGGTATTTATTGCAATTGTTTTCGAGTCGCCCCGGGGTGACTCGTGGTTGTCCTACCCATTGCTGGGCAGATCACTAAAACCTAAAGAGAGAGAGGTGAATCTCTCCCCGACGTAGTTTCTGGGAGTCCCTGTCCCCATTTTCAGGTAACCGAAACATTAGTGGCGTTACTTTCTGAGAGCATCGAGATGCTTGCCCAGCGTAGTCCGCTTCACTGTTCCATCCATGGGTTCCACTAGACGGCATCCATATTTTTACTCGTCTTCAATTCTCAGATAACGTGTATATTCGATATATATGCTCCGATAATGCATCGAATATGGCCGGGGCTCGTCGCACTCGGCTAACCAGGAACCTCAATGAACTTCTTCAGCAGGACTGTGCGAAGCGCGATATTGAGGAGGGTTCAATTGAGCTGGCCGAGAGTGAAGAAACCTTCTCTTTCGATGACCAAGACGTCGACGAGTGGGACGACATCTCAGATAGCGAAGTGTATGACATACTTGGTGGCGGACAACCTCCTAACAATATAGAGAGGACGCGAACCCTGATGGCGGTTGGCGAGGCGATTGGTGCGAGCCGAGCCTCGAGTCATGTGAAGAAATGCGAGAGTACTCTAATCGCATCTACCAGAGCTTCGTCTCTGAGTGATAGAGATTCGTGAGCCAGCAAAAACTAACTCGAATCGCTGTGTTAAGGTATGAGCGCCGTCACAGGTCTTAGGAGCAGTGGTGATCACAGCTGATAACTTACTCTATCTCAAAGACCTAGTCGTTATCGAGTCGTTCTCGCAAATTATTGCTAACTCGGTTCCATTATATTCTGTGAGCACGGTTGTGTGCCCAGTACTCGTCATATGACATTTGATAGTGTGTCCACTCACTCCACTCCTGGCCGATGCAGAACTTCCTAGACGCTAACCGATTCTTGGCTTTCGGGTCTTTGCGTTCAATGGCCAATCCTGGCAAGGATCCGTCCAGCGGCCAGGACTTCGCTCTGCCAGGAGCTATAGCTGCTACCGTAAACAAGCCAGGAAAACCTCCTCCAAGGGTGATGAACCAAGGCATTGTCTTCCACAATTGTACTTCTTTCCTCATGCTTTGCCTACTGATGAGTTGTTGTCGATACTCGACACATCGCCAGATCTCATATCACGAATAATTCCTCAGGTAGCCCTTGAGCACAAAGTGTTTTCCGAAGATGACATTCGAGATGCATTCCAATCATTCGACTTGGACAAGAATGGCTATGTATGTGATGAGCCTACGCCCGAGAGGGTTGGTGTTGACGCGCTAGTGTAGATAGGGGCAAGCGAGCTCCGCCACGTTCTGTCACTCATTGGAGAAAGAGCGAGCGACGCGGAGATAGACGAGATGATAGCAATGTGCGATCCCGACGGCGATGGCCAGGTGAGACAGTTCGCGTCTCACAATGCTGTATACGGCCACGTCAGGCTTCGTTTCCTGCCTTCCGAGCACTCTTCACTCGAGATCCTCATAATATCGATGTCGCGAGGAAAGGGCCTCAACCACAGCCAAGGGAACTCATCGAAGGCTCCACCCGTACCAGTGAGTTTAATCGTGCGCCATCACTGAGCCGCAGCCCCAATCTTCATTACCGAATGAATACGCATTGAAGATCCCGTGTGATGCCATCTCGCAGGAGATGCCAAGAATACTATGAAGGGAGATAATGGTCTCGGCAACATGGGGACGTACGCCTGAATAATCCTCTCCATTGCCGAACACGTGTGCTGTAGAATAATGGCGAATTTCACGGGCGGCGAGAAGCTCACAGCGGCGTATATCAAGAAAACTTACAAGAAGTTCCAGGCAGTAGATCAAGATGGCTCCGGCAGGATAGAATACCCAGAGTACATCAACGCGACCTATCGTCTGGAACATGTCACTAGAGGCAGCTTCTCTCCGCCGTAGATTCTTGACGGTGATGGAACGAGAGGATTCCTTCCTTATGAAGCGTATGTTCGACGTGTTTGACACCGACAAAAGTGGCACTCTCGAACTGAAAGAATTCATAGTGAGATAGCGTGATGGTAGTCTGTGGTCATTGGATATCAATGCCCTCCGAGGTGGGAATGTCCAATTACACTGGAACCAATCAAATGAGCAAGCTACGATTCGCCTTTCTAATGTTCGATACGGACCAGTCGGGTTTCATCGAGCTCAGCGAACTCAAAAACATCATC